CCCGTCCAATTTACTCCCCGCGGGGGCCCCTCCCCGTGCAAAAAATTGCTCCCCGACGAACACTATTCATGACTGTAGCAGATATGAAAACGAATACTTCACTGTGATATGATCAATATTTTGCCCTATTTAGTATTATTTTCAATAGAAAATGATGAAATAGGCACCGCATTCTACATAGAACAAATCTGGTCATCAATTTAAACTTTCTCTTTCAACTTGCTATCAGATGAGTTAATTTGAATGAATGATCATGTTTCGTACTGTACAGAAGTGAAATTCAGTTGAATATTTTGAGTCTTGATCGCATAGGTCGTTGAGTATAATCTAATCAGTATGATGATGAACTGAACTTCTGTTCTTCTTTGCGAAGGAGCTTTCATTGGATTTCCTGTTGTCTCCTTATTCTTTCGTGAACATTTTCAAGCTTAAACGGGGGGTCAAAGAAAAAGTTGTTTGTTGGGATAAAAAGGGAGAACTGAAGACTCTGGTCATGCTGCTGCTATCCACGAACATATGAAATGTTCACGGAAGAAATTATCTGGAACACGCATATCACTTCAATACTCTCTGCAGGTATCAATTCGATAAGCGCATCACTACTCAATTTGAAGGCATTAGTGCAGAATGAGAGTAATGAAAGGGAACCTATCCTCATTATGACAACGGCCGGCGCTGATCCCTCGCAAGTACGTTCCTTTATCAGTAGAGAATGCTCAAATCAGATCGAATTTGATCTTCGTTGTGAATTATCTCGCTTAATTTAGCGCCTATTAATAACTGTTGAGGATTTGGAAGACTTGGCGAAGAATGAAGTCGGTTTGAGTCGTTTCCACCAAGTTCCAATGGGACAAGGTCAGCTGCAGAACGCAATCGAGGCACTGCGAAGTGCAGCTGAGAATGGCGATTGGGTTTGTCTGAAGAACGTACACCTTGTGATTGCATCTTTGCCTGCTATTCAGAAGGTTATTTCTCATCACTACTTAGTTGTGCAATTACATCTGATATCAGGTCGTTCGAATGAATCTAATGAAGAAATTTTATACGCATTATACTATACCTCAGGCACATTTCAAAGATTATTCCAATCGTAACTAACCGAATGATAAAAATTTCCAGTGATTAGTTCACTGCTGAAGAATTCACTCATACACAACTTGAGCAATCTTTGAATCACAATATGTGATTCATTCGAAGCCGTAAGACTACCTATCGTGACTGCGAACAAAAGAAGTGTTGAAGGAAATCAGTCAAGATCATCAGTTCTTGATGTTTCAGGAGTTATCGATGTTGCAACGACATCCCTCTTTCCGCATATGGTTGACCAGCGAGCCGGATGACAAGTTCCCTTCGATGCTACTGCAAGAATCATTGAAGCTTTCATTTGAAGCACCGCCAGGTGTGAGGAACAACATGAATCGAACGTATGCACAGTGGAGGGACAGTGGTATGAACGGGGGCGCAGTTCGACTGCAGTGTCTCTTCGTATTAGCGTGGATGCATGCTCTTATCCAGGAACGTAGAACCTTTGTACCGCAGGTATATCACCACTGCTTACTGTTCGGCTTACTTCAGCTTCGAACGTTCCACTATAGACTGGTCAATGGATCCGAAAATGAGGGTTCTTCAGTTACTCAAAAATAATCAGCGACCATCGGCTTCCTTTATCAGATCTGTATAGTTGATTGATTAGATAGGTTTGAAAAGGTATCTACCTAAAGGACAGCATTTGAGCGCCATCATATTTTACAGGCGTGGTCCAAATTTTACGAATTCAGCAACGCGGATCTGCGGGCTGCCAAAGTCTTGATTGAGCAGATGACCAAATCCGACTTAAAAGGTGACACATTTAAATGAACTTTCTCGTGTATAGCAACAACTGTTGAATATACAGACAGCAGTATGAATACTAAATTTGCAGACGTAATTTATAACTCTTTTGAAATTATAATTGTGATCGCATTGCATCAAACCAGTATTTTTATGGCTGAAATCGATCTCAAACCAAAATCGAAATGAAATAAGATCATTTGAGTACCGGACTGGCAATTCGTTCACGGATTGATGCAAAACGTAATATACGGTGGGCGTATTGATAATCCGTTCGATGAGAATGTTCTGAATGGTTACTTATTGAGTTATTTCAATTCATCGATGATCTCAACAACGTCACACGAAATTGCAAAGAATATAAAAATACCTGCGTCGAATAGACTCGATGTGTGTTTGAATTTCATATTTAAAATTTCGTAACTGTTCTTTTTTTAATAGTCGTCTCTTCATTTAGTTGTTTCATGCAACAGTCATTGTCATCAATTTGTTTCTTATGTGTTATAACAGTTGTTAGTCTTTTATAATAGTTCCAGTTAGAGGTGGGCAATAGCGCGCTATTCCGCTACTTCGCTAACTGACGAAATAGCGGCATAGCTACTCCGCTGCTAGCGGAATGACTCGCGATTGCCCACCTTTGGTTACAATCAGCTGTGTGCAATAGATGTGATGGTGGGAAACGGCTGGGTGAGTAGGGCAGAACGCATTGGCGCTTGGTGTTGGTTGGTGATAGCCATTTGAGTGATGCATATGATAGACTGAAGGAACATTCTGGACGAGTCCCCTTCATTGATCTCTGATGAGTGAAGGGGAATCATCCAAAAGAAAAGCATTCTAAGGCGAACCTTCAACTGGCTCGAGTCATCCGCAGGCAGTTGTGATGATTAATGATAGATCTTTAAGGATTATATAGCAACGATTGAAAAGAGCATTCCAACTGAAGATACGCCAGCACTATTCGGCTTGCCGGATAACATTCGTACTTCATGGGAAGTTATCGAGTCAGAGGCAACCATTCGTCAGATTAGAAATTTGCAAATCGGCGGTGGTATTGACAGTTTACTCGATAGGTACACGCATATTTTTCAACATGCTGATATTATTTGTCAAAAAAAAAATCCAGAAAAGAATGTCGTTTTCGAATGTCGTTACATAGCAGTGCATTTTCAGAGCAACATTACAAAACTTGTTGAATCCGATTTTAAACATTTGGAAACGACTGAATGCGCATTCGTCGCTTCATTCGATGCAACTCCCACAAGCAATCAGCTCTGATGATCCATTTGTGGAGAGCTTATCTTTGGAATTCGTTTTTGCGGTCATTTTGGTTAGATTTTTCTTGAATGCATTCTGTTTGATGACTGCAAATTAGATTATTTGACAATTCATCAACTTCATGTTTGTAGGAAGGAATTTGTGAGTGTGGTGAATTAAAATGTGCGTGCGTTGTTGAAAGAGAGACGATGACTGAATGTTACGTTGATTCCAGGTGCAGGATGTACATCGCTCGCTAACTGTGTTGAACAAGTGTCTTCGTGGTATACTGCAGCCTTCATCAGCTACAATCAAACTGCAACACTCCCTGATGCTTCATCAGGTGATCGCTGCTCCTCTACTCAATCATCCAGTCAAAATTCGCTCACGATCAGTTAAATTTTTCATAAACATCAGTTAACCTATTCTTCGACGATCTATTTTTGCAGACACCTGACAGTTGGCAAAGCATTTGGGCCGGACCAACTGAACCGGTGCAGTATTTAGCGAGTTTGATGTATCGAGCAAATTCAACACAAGAGTTGTTGAGTGCAGCCGAGAGTGGACAATTACGCTCGAATTCCGTCAAGCTATCTAAGCTTTTCCGACCAGGCACTTTGCTGAATGCCTTGAAGCAGTTAACAGCTAGGTGAGTTGCAACAGCACCTAGTGAATATACTAGATATAATGTAGGCGCATAGTTCTAATAAATTATTTGTGGAAGACAACCGATATCTTGCAAGAGTTTTATCGAAATAAGATAAAATACTCGCGGAACAGTGAGAGTAAATTAAAAATACTATCTAATAGATGGGTAATCTGCTGCTGTTCCGAGTAGAGCATCTATAACTGTGCTTCTCATAGGCGTTCTCTTGTCCAGTGCATTCTGTATTTGTGTATTCCGTTATTCATATTCCTTCATCCCACAAAGTAACCTCTCCCTCACCTCTTCGTAGAGAGGTTTACCTACACGACTCCATAGGCACATAGCAAGCTGATTTTTGCTATGACAACATTATGTAACACAACCCTAAAATTCCACAGAACTAAACCTATAAATTCGCGCAGTTCGCTTATGAGACTACGGTGTCGCATAAAATGTGCAAACGTGTTGATGAAATCGCATCAAATTAACGCTTTTGACGCGTTGATTCGATTTTATTTATTTTCGAGGATAATTCGGGGCTTTGCCGAAAATTTCCGGGGAATGGGGTCCCGACAATCCCGGAGGAATCATGGACTAAAAAGTCGGGAAAGAAAGTAGCCAGAAAAATCGGGAACGAGGTAAATCGGAGACAGCAATCCCGACAATTCCGGAAAAGTCGGGGAGGTGGAAGTCGAGAATCCCGAAAGTGCGATCACCTTGAAAAGTATCGGAGACGGAAGAACGGAAACGGGGTCCCCCTCCCCAGAATAAACTAGTTTCAATATCGCTGATGAATGTTTGGCAACAATCTTCTTGATCGATGATTGCAATCAAATGATTCTGAATAAGCACAAATTCATTCTGGGCATTTCATTACTTATTTCGACGGTTTTATTAGATTTTTTGAAGTGAGAGAGCCATGACGGCACGGACTGAGAACCACTGATCTACGCGTACAACCTTAGGTTATTGTCATTCACATATTACTTCTTCATTCTGTATCCACAAGAAGTGAATAACGGAAATTGATAAGAGAAGTGATTTTGATTTGTCTTTTTCTCATTTAGGAAAACGAAGAAGAGTATGGATGAGTTGAAGCTAGCAACTGCGTGGGATAGAGCGCTTTTAAGCGATCAATTGACTATGGATTTGAGCGGTTTATACATACAAGGAGCTCTCTTTGAATCCTCTCTCTCCGATACAAATTCCTCGTCACCATCGTTATCGCCAACACCAAAACTGAGCGTTGCATGGATCGCTACGGTTGGTTCCCATTATAATTGAGAATGACTATTGATTATGAATGTTTCATCTTCGCTCTGCGACTTCATTCTCGCCCTCAGCGAAATATGCAAAAATTCATTCAGAAAAACTCATCGCTTATTCCGACGGTTTTATCAGATTTTTTGAAGCGTTGAGAGATGATTTTAATTGTGCTTTACGAGTACAGTTTAAGGATCAGCCAGATGTTTACGACGGCAGCAAATCTGTATTCGTACCGCTGTACACAAGTCCAGATCGACAGCAACTCGTCACGCAAGTTCAAATTCCCACTAATCAACATCCACAAAAATGGCAGATCGCATCCGTGGCTCTCTTCCTTTCCACTCATTAACATCACTCAACCACTCGCCCTTTTGCTCGATTATCTTTTCGACGTTTGAACTTATCACATCCCTTCTGTCCCTGTCTTCGATTTTAGTCGTATTTCGTTCTGATTGCTAGATAATACCGCATTTAACACCCTAAAAAATATCACCACTAGCCAAACCTAGTATCAGTTAATTGAATCAGTGGTATCGCACTAATTAATAAGTATTAATTATTAATTAACGATCACAATCAACACCAACAATAGTATTAACTGAATAAGTGATATCGCAAAGTGTGCTGCTGGTAAGCAAACGTGAAACTGGGGAAACAGTCATTCTTGAGCAGAATTTTATTTACTTGAAAACGGTTGAAATTCTCACTGAAGTAGCCATTTCTACCAAAATTCTGATATTTTCCATGATTACGATGTGTTTCAATTTGAAAATAATTGTTGTTTTTGAACGAATCTTTGACTACATTCAACAACGAATCTTTGACGTTAAATTTTCGCAGAATTAGCTATTGTCCGACTTTAATTTTGGTATTTCTTATCGAAACGAATCAAAAGATGAAAGAAACGGCTATTTTTTGAACAGGTCAGGTAATTTTCAGCAAAATCTATTAACATGTTCAAGAAAACAGCTTTTTTGCTCAGATACTTTACGTTAAATTATGAATAAAGTGATAAGCATTATAAGTGAATCATTCATAACAAATCCTCAGAAATAAGGTTCTATCTCAGGAACTGAACAAAATTCCTCTATAAGATAGATGCATTCTCGATGGAAGAGAATGTCATGAAACCGATGGTAGCAACCAACCACTGACTTTCTGCGCAAACCCTAAGGTATAGTTAGCTTGAAGATGACGATGATGCTATAACTTGATCAGCCTGACAATGCATAATTGATCAGCCTGACAATCACATATTTAGAGTTCCAGAGATGGGCACGCTATCGAAAACGATCGCTCCGCTATCTCTGATCCGCTGAACTAAAAACTGTTAATTCCGTCAAAAAACTCCGCTGTCGCTATCATTACCAAAAACATGGCGAAGTGCTGTCGTAAGCTCCAATGAATAGTCACTTCCAATCGAGAACAGTCATCTTTGTGATGTGATTCGCACAGAAGATTAACTGTATTGAATCAGTAATTTACATTAACACAACAAGCTCACTCACTCTGCTAATTATAATTTCAGTTTGTATGTTTGTCGTTCAACGACCATCACAATATCTCTAAGCACACATTCGCATCACAGCTCTGAACAAATCATAAAATCACTCAACAATTCTTTATTGGAATTGAATCAACATTTTATTCGTGTTACATTCACAAAAAACAACTAACTCATTAACCGAAAGTAAAACGACGAACGTTACGATCACGAATTGACCGTTGAATTGATTCAACAACTGTATCAGATACTTTTCATAACTGCATCGAGAATTCAGCCGAATCCTTCGATCAGTGAAGGATACAAGATAAAAATGATTGGCATATCGAAAAACCGTTTTGGATGGACACAGAAATAAATCCAGGTGTGAGTCAATAATCAATAATACTGAAAACAAATATCACTGCAAGGTCGTCTTCCATACCTCTGAACACTTCACAGCTATCTCAGATCATGACTTAAATACAGTAATTATATAACCGATTTCACTATCAAATTTCAAATCCAAACAAATTCTTCGTTTTGAGTTTTGCATCAATTTCTACGGCGAATGTTACTTTCAATTATTGTATTTTCTAATCCATTCACACAAAAGAGATGTCGCACAGCTATTTGTTAAGGCGAACATTTTAACTGGGAATGAATTTTTCTCGAGCAATAAAAATTACGAAGTATATGAATGGACAGCTTTTGATGAAATTGTCTGCAATGCGGCATTTCAGTTTCAAGAAAATTCCACAATTTCAACGGAGAATTTGTTCGAACAGTTTTACAAGAATACAGATTTACAACATCAGCATGTCGACGGCTGTGATAATATTCACTGGATTCATTCATATGATCACATATAAGGTTTATGCAAAAAGACGCAAATGTAGAAAGAACAAAACAAAATGAAAACCCAAAATGGAAACGGTAATAACCCCCGAAGATGAAATGATATTATACGCATAAAAGAGGTGAAACACCGAGAAGGCAGAGACAAGACAATACGGCCACCTTCTCGGCATGAAAACAACAAACAAATATCGTCTCCACGAACGAACAAGTAAAACCATTGCAATTAAACGGTGGCAACGTGCAATCAAATAAATATGCGCGAACCGATGAACAAACAAACGGAAAAACCCAAAAACAAACACACCAAAAGAGGATCGCTTTAAAACATGAGTTAAAGCACTGCTTTCACAAGAGTCACCACTACGCAATATCTCTTTCAAAAATGTCGTTCCGTTCAGATTCCGTCTCAGAATTAACCAGCATTTAAGTATCCTAAAGTTGACTATAAAATCAACTGACTGCTTTGAAGCAGACATCAACATCTTTTCAAAACCTTCATACATTTCAATAGATCATCAGCCGTACTATGCACGAATCATGATCGATGCAGTACTTTGCCTTCCCCGAAAGATTCGACAAAACAAATCATAAAATGATTAAGCTTATTTACGCCTTTGTAGCCTTCTCCTCCGGCGTCGTGCCATTTGCTGCAGATATAACCTGCAAATATGAAAATCGCTTCATGTCAATCAATACCATTGCAAAACTTCTAAACAGAAAATGTTTTCTCTTCTCACTTCCTAAATTATTTCATTGCAGAACGAAGTCTTTTGCAAAGACAAAAAGTTTCATATAAGCCGCAATCACCCTTAAAAAAAGCCACAAACCTGTTCATAATTCTTCTTTTGCGTTTCATAGAGTTTCTCTAATTTTTTACGTTGTTTCTTCGAAATCTCTTCGCCATCAGCACCATGCGTTGGTATACCCCTTTCGTCGTACTTCGAATACTTCGTCGCTTCATCACCCCTTTTAAACATTTCATTCGGTGGAATTCGTTTTGCAGCTTCCCTTTCTTCTTTCTCCTTTTGTTTGCGCTCTTTCTCCTTCAATTACTTCCGTTTACATACTCCAGATTGCAGTCATATTTCACAGACAAATGTCACGTTGTTCAGTTACGACCACTTAATAGTCGAGCAGAGAAGGAAAGTAATAAGTATGTTATGCACTAGTCAATTGGGGATCTTTACACTTTCATTTCGATTCTTATTTTGTCTAAGATTCTGCTATTGACTTATTGTCTAAGACATTTCTATTTTGTTATTACTCTTACTTTCGACGCTACCAACTTTTCCCATTGTTTTCCAGCAACCGCACTGATTCGAGTCACCATCTGTGATAACGATCCGTGTGACTGATCGTTGCAACAGGCCTTGCAATCGAATCCGATAGCAAATTGATGCAACAACACAAGCACTGATAGTCTGGCAACGCTCTGCTATGGGAATAAAAGCAACACGATCTCACCAATTGTTTCGCCATTTCCACATCTCTTTTCTGTTGTTGTTCTCGAATGAGCGTCTCTCGATTAACCAGCTTCACACAAGTCTGTGAACTCCTATCTTCCAGTCGAACGCCCAACTCCGGTAACACCTCGTCTCGCAAACGATCGCACTCCTCAAAAACACAAACACACCCTTAATGTATTTCCATGCATCCGCTTTCTACGCAAATCATCAGGCATGAATTTTTAAGAGAGTATGAGATAATCAATAAGTGATGAACCTGTAAAATGCCAACAACTTTATGCTCACGGGCGATATTGCGAACTTTCTCACGGAAATCGGCCAGCGCCAATAGATAGGGCATTAGCACTGATTCAGCCGAAGTACTAGGAGCACCGAGGCACGAAACCGACCCGCTGAATTAACGAACTTATTTGCAACAATTGCAAAGAGAATATTTTTATCTGCATGCACATCACTGCACGTCTGTCAATCTGATTTCTTACAATCAAGAGCACTGTCCTCTATCGACATTATTCCTCATACAACCATATGCAATGAATCTTTAAACAATGATCTCTCAGCCACACAATCCCGTAACTGCCAATCCTATGATGCTAATGTGATCAGCTATGCGTTCAACCGTTCAACCACAAACATCGATAATACTGATGTATGAAATGACAAGTTTACCTTGACTCAATCGGGAAACCGATCTCGATATTTTGAGGTATCGTTCCGAAAATTTTCAGTAACCATGTCATATATGCAGCAATATTTCTTAAGAGCAGACAATTTGGAATTGTATTCTGGCGTTCCTGAAAAAAACATTTATGCATATGAGTAAATCAGCTATCGATTAGAAAATGAAACAAATATTTGACAATCTGAGAATATTCCTAAAACTTGTTTCTTCCACTACAACTGCTACTGCTGTTTGTGTGGTTCTCAGATGACAAGCAATTGTTTCAAACCGATGCGAACAATTATTAGAAAGATATTGTATAATACCATTTCAACAATATATGCGTTTCCAAGGGCAATCAGCTCGCGAATCTTCTCAATTACTGTGCGTGTATCGATCGAATCACACAGCGCTGCATTCACATCCGACTTGACTTTCAAGAATTCTTCCATAAGCAGTAACTCACGCTCACCGTATTTTTGATAACCCTGAACATTCACCAATTCACAGAATTTCTCGTTTACATTTCATCTCACACCACATCAACTCATTAACCTCTGTCCCTAACGCATGCTCCTTCCAATCGAACGCAGTTCAACTCTTCCAACCTCAACAAGCAACTAAATGATTTCGACCGAGTTCAACAGACCAACCTCATTGTTATCCGGTCTGTAGTACCGTCGTAAATAATCCTTTACAAGTAAAAAGAATTCATTCGTTACTTTCTCGAATTGTAACGCACGTTCCATTGTGCTCGCACTGAAATTTGGATGTATGAAAGATCGTCAAGCAACTAATATCTATCGCAGATTAGATGCGTCTGTGTTACTTGAATGACAATGCCAAACGACTCCTAGATGAATGCATTCAAACCAAACAAACACAAACGTTTAGAATGAACTTCACGCGTTCACATGACCTCATCAGCACAAAACGATTCACTATCAGCTTATCAACGAATCCATACAATAAGATAAGCAGTAACATAAGGATTATAACAATACGATATATGATCATCAACGGAATAAGAGCAACAATGAGAATACAACGGCTACCAACCACCAAACGAACAACCTCACCGTACAGTCAGAAGAATAAGCAAGAAACATTTGCTGAAACATGAACATTTGATTGAAAAGATGCCTTACTCTTCATCATACTGAACTTACGGAATATTCCAAACAACATTCTCGAATCGTTTTTCATTAACTACTGATCAATGAAACGAACGCAATCACACGAATAAAACCATCTCGAAACGTGCTCTAATGAATGCATCTGATCAAACAGCTGTGTTTGTAATCTATCTTCAAGCAATCGCATTATGATGTATCACTATCACGATACTCACTAATCATTCAACTTTCCCGATTCGAGCAACAGCCACTATTACGAGGGTTTTGACTAACCGAGCTGTTTTTGATGCATAAATAATACTTCTTTTTTTTGCAAATGAGTGTTCTCCCTTTGATTATTGAATTCGGAAAGAACGAACTTAAGTTAGAGACAGGGAGATGCGGAAGAACGTAAATGAAATAATTAGGTAATAGACATTTAGAACTGCAAGTGGTATGGAGAAGTAACTTATTAAAATTAGTTAAACGGAGCAATATTTTAGACGATGCTGATTATCAGGAGAATTGCACACACAAACACAACATTCTCAGCACACATCCGATACTAACGTATAAGAATAACATTCACAGACACATAATAACAACCAAGAAAGTACAACATTCACGAATTTATTGCTATTTTCAATCGACCAAATAATCTATTTCTGGAAGGAATGCAAATATTACGCAATAATCATCTGTGAATGAAAGAACGAAGGGAATATCTAATAACGGAATAAAACAGCAGTATGATAACATCTGATTATGCTCAAAAGACGAAACTAACAGCGTGCGCTTTTCTGAAGTGATGATAAGACGAACGATGTTGATTGATGGTCAATCAGTCGACTAGAACTGACTCGTATTCGGGGTACAGTTCACTGGAAGACAACCAATGAGAACGTGAACGAGAGAAGGAGAGTTTAGACTGATTGATTATAATACCTTGTTTTTTCATGCTTTGGCAATGACGTCTGCATATATTATCAGCAAATAAATCCGTAAACGATCATCTTATCTTTACGTGACCACGAGAATACCGTGGTGACGGAAGAACGATGGAAGAATAGGGTGGTCGCCTTACATAACAATAATCTTTAAAGCCGAGATTTGAAAAGAATGAACGAAGAGCACATTGAAAATCACAATGAGCTATAGCGATAAAGGTGGCAATAAAAGCAACTTAATTGGATTGACTGGTAATGGATATTGCTGACTTANCGCAATATCTCGAAAATATTTTGCACGGATGCATCTCATGCCAGCAATTTACCTAGGACTTCGACTACCATCATCCAACAAGCATTTCCCATAACACCTCGCATTACATCAACTCAACTGCACTCTACACACAATGCACTTAACACACCAAACTATTACTCTCTCGACTGCGAATCGTGCTATCGTTACCTGCAAACAGCACCTGGGCTATTGCGAAGTGGTGTGCATGATGCGTGCACATATTAGAACGATGCTATTGAACAGACAAATACGTATTGCTCTCAAAAGCAAACTTTTGCAGTGAAATAACGTGAAACACGGTCACCGATGGCGATTTTCCGATGAAATAGCTATCACGAACAAATGTACAATTAAGTTTGTTCCTTGATACAATACTCCTACAATTGTTTTCGAGGTGATTTAACGATAATCAGAATCAAAGTCGTGCTGATCCAACTTACGAACGTAAAAGTCAAATAACTCAGAAAGCAAATGAAATCGCGAACAATCTGCCTTTAATAATTATTTGCGACGAATGTTGACGATTCGAGAGAATATTCGAAAAGGCAAACAAAAACCGAAGGGAAGGTGTTCTGCAAATGAAATGGAAAATGCAAAAGCTTACAAGACAAAATGAAAATACAGACACATAAAATCCTTACTCTATAACCCACTGCACCTGCACATAAAATGTCACAATAATAATACAAAATTTTTTTGATCTTTACAGACGGAGAAACGAAAGAGGTTCGTTTCTCTAAAAAGACAGATAATCATCTTCGTCAAAGTTCAAAATCAAACAACTCATGCAATTAATAATGCAATATTCCCTTGCAATCGCATCAACTATCAGTTGAAATAAAAATTAGTGCATTCGACCCGGTAGCAGTGTTCAATTAAATTATAATGATTGAGAGTCAGTAAAAAGAAACATTCGAATTCGAATACTCGGCAAGGCACTCGCATGATGGAAATTGAATTTGTGATCGAGTCAACAAGAGAAGAAAAACAAAAACGCGAAGTGCGCATTAATGTGAAATGAAACGAATTCATCGGTCACACGGCCCTCCATCGAAAACGAATGTAATCACAAAGAAACGATAAACGAAACCAAACAAATAACCGAATCGAACCGCACAAACGCACACGAAAATGGATGTACCTGTAATCGAGCACATCCGTCCAGTTATGCATCAAGAACAGAAATCTTAGCTGTCTTGCTGTGTACTGCTTCAGCGCATCATTTATGGTGATGAAGTTCTTCAGACTCTTCGACATCTTCATTCCAGCGATTCGCAAAGTGCCGCAATGCAGAAAGTAATTCACCCAATTATCGCAATCATAATGTGCTTCAACCTCAAAATTTGCCAATAATAGAAAGGAATGCCTTCAAGCGATCGCTTCAGAGACATACTTTCNCTGCCTTTTTAGAATTGACTCTGACAAATGATCTTATGATAGGGCCGAAAGCAACTAAAACAAGATTTGTGCATTCAAACACAAGAATGCGCTCACAAACCTGCGCAATTTCGTTGTCATGATGCGGGAATTTCAGGTCAAAACCGCCCGAGTGGATGTCAAGACGCGAGCCACAAATTTTTGACGACATCGCCGAGCATTCAATATGCCATCCAGGTCGACCTTAAAACATTGCGCTTTGAACGTGAATATTTCTCGTGATGGGCACTGCAAAAGCGAGTTGGCTCAATCAGAATCTAACCTTTTCCCCATGGACTATCCCAGAATGGCTCACCACTCTTCGACGATTTCCACAGTGCAAAATCGGTTGGATTTCGTTTATCCTGGAAAGAAACAACGGCATGGACATAATTATGCACTTACACTCAACCACCTCATCATCATCCAAACAATTCGATAGATTTCTTTTTCAAAAATACATCAAAAATGCTGCATACCGAAATCAATTATATTTACTTAAAAATGAATGCTTAGTGATAAAATAAATTTGAATAAGTTATTTACGGGTGTAACGGGACAAAAGATAAATCGAGAGTAATACATCTCTCTACATACATCGAGATTGCCCATACTTAGTTCTCCTTCACTTTCTTTCATATTCTTCAGCAGTTGTTCACTGTCACCAAACGCCTCAGGTACCAGTTTCGCGTAAGAATGTTTCGGGTTGCTTTCAAACGCCATCGTATCGAAGTAAACCTGCAACAACAACCAAACGCCCTCATTATCACCCGACTCCATCAACCAAACATGTCTCACTACGATTCTAACCTCACAACAACAATTCCACTCCCAATCTGCTAACACCATAACTATTCACCATCAAACATTCTCAATAAAACCTCACCGATCCGTCTTTCGTCACATATCCATACCCATTATCAATTATCTTCTGCACGTATTCGATAATTTCTGGCACATACTCAGATACTCGCGTTAGAACGTCCGGTGGCAAGACGTTCAATTTGGCCATATCCACGTGGAATTCATTCTCGAATCTACAACGAATGAGATCGACTATGAACAATCAAGCACATGTAACAGAACTACTTTCATCGTTTTCAAGTAACTGCTGCACGCTCACTTTTAAGCTGAATGTAAATAGGTCTATGGAGCATCAGTAATCACAAACATTCCAAAACCCAACCAATCGTCATCGCATAAAACAACTCCAAAATTTTCGATTACAAGCAAGCCTCACTCACTTCTTCGCAAGTTTATCAAAAACTGCATGGTCATTAATTTCTTGTCCATGCATTGTGTCTAACCAATCCGATAATATATCCTTCGCATCCATCAGAAGTTCGTTCTTCCCCGTCACAACTGACGACTTATCGTTTTCCTCCAAGGCCTTTTCCAACTTTTTCACGGCCACATTCACTTTCAAAATCTCAAATAACAGTGCAATAAACGGAAGAAAACAACATATCGCACACTTCATCAATCCTTTAAACACTAAGATACCACCCTTTCTGAATTCATCCACAGTTGATCTCATCAATCAATATACCACTCATTAAACTGATCACAGCCTATTCACTAATTCAGCCATACTCAAATTCCTGAATCTAACAGAAATGATTCCATCATTCCTTAAAAACCTGATGCATCGAGCATGCCAACGAATGCCGATGCTATTGAATCGACACCAAGAAACGAACGAATTACGCCAATGACCTACCATGATATCGTACATTTTTTTCTTGTCCTGATCAGTCTCTGCATCAACCTTTTGCTTGAACATTTCGAGTGCATTGATAACATTTTTTATCACTTCACTAGTACTCATTTTCGTGACTTCTTTCGACAAGTATCTTTCAAACAGATGCGTTTGTCGTGCACTAAAACAATTTTAATTGATCACATCCAATCGGCATTCGAATACGGATTCAATTAAATTACCGATGTGAATATTTGCCTCCAGATGAATGTGAAGAAATGACCAGCAACAATGAAATTTATGTTGAACTAATTCAGAAAACAGAGCATTAATCCACTGACAGAGTGATTCTCGTCTGGCTGAACACCTTATCTCTTTGACAGACTAATCATACTCCCCAGCTCGAAATCAGATTCAGAATTTTTCTGTCACCCCATCAAAGTACGTAAAAATGTGATATGGTCACTATGCGTGCAATCGTGAACTGTTAACGCAAATAAATAAATCGAATACCGTTTGATAATCTTATCATCGATATCTGTGATGTTCATAATGTACTCAACGTCATAACCAAAGTAATCCTGCAACACACGACGAACAATATCAAACGAAAGGTACGCGCGAGCATGTCCCATATGCGATGAATCGTATACAGTTGGGCCACAGATGTACCACTTCACCTATAACATTCATCTATTTTCTAGCTTCCATTCCTGGCAATCTTTTTCCATGATCGCATGAAATCCGTGAGTACCGTTTGCAGTTGTATCACGGGCATTTAACATTCACCCTTCACTGGGAACAATCCTTAAAAAATCTCATGATTTTAAGGATAAAACAGGTCCCAAATAAACTAACTCGTTTATCATGAAGTGGCACGAATGGTTCCTTCTTGCGAGTGAAACTGTTTTGAAGAAGAAGTCTGGCGTTATTTTTCAAAGGTGTCGGAACGTTCCATGGATGTAATGCTCGTTTTGCTACAAAACGATGACTATTATCTTCAATTTAAGAGACGATCGAATTATTTCCATTTTGATGTGAATTTAATTTAGTAAGAAGACAACTAATCTAATAAAGTTATTCACAAATTAATTTAATATATCAACAGACAACTCGGAAAATGCCTCACTAGTTGGCTGCGTCGCTGGTGTGTTGTTACTCCCATTCACTGACATTTCTCGTACGCTCTTTGACTTTTGAGTACCCAAAAAACGCTTAGTGACAGCTGAAAATTATCAAAATAAACCTAGCATCGTCCATTCAAAAAAGTTGTACAGGGAAAATAGCATAAGCGATGTCCATCTCATCACACGAGTTAATATCGCATCTCCAACAAAATTGAATTTGTATCTCTCCACACGCATNAACACATTCACACTTGCTCTAATTTGCATATGCATCTTTTCTAATGAAAAATCAGCTGAGACTCAACCCTAAAAAGCAACAGTACATATAACCACTTAACAAATGCCGTACTATCCTGCATTCCTATTGTGCTTTGCACTTTGCATAATATTTCTATCAAATGCAATCAGACGATAGGCATAATTCCATACATAGTGACTGGATGCACGATAATCTGTAGCAGTTTATCATATGTGTGGTGCTTCTTTTTTCTGCCGTTTATTCCAACACATCACTAAGCGGCAGAATTTTAAATTTGTCGATTCATTCATGCCACTTATATGTGATTAAATCAACATAAAACAGCGATTTCACCTCGCACATATAATAAGGAAGTGTATCTTTTTATCCATTCTCTTCATCAATTCAACTTTATAATTACGAAGCATCGGCGCTGTGGTCTCATACAGTAATAAGTAACTGTTTAGAAAGAAATTAAAAAGAACCTTGAAAGAACGTTAAAAAGGTTTGACGACTTTTCAGTGTCGATAAAATTTTTCGACAGCTGTGATCCACAGACTGCGTGTTGATGAGAGGCAGTGTGCTGGCCGATGTATTATAGAGTTTATGGCCAAACTGGGAGAAACAACAGAGCGATCTTAACGAAATATCCAAGACTCGTGTCGTCGACGTTGTCACCGAGATTCAGAGAGCAGTCNGAACATAAAACGAAAACTGAAGCCGGCAGCTTGCTCGCACCGAACTTCTGCGGCCTATGAATATCGGCAGCCAACCACCGAAATCACAGCCGGCTGTCCTGTCGATGATCACCGGAAACCGTCTGTTTCAAAACCTACTTCCTTAAGAAAAATAACGAAATTTCTTGAGAATATATCACGTCCTGAGTAGATCCATTAAACTGGGTCTCCGACAATTTGCTCTACGACAATGTCCACTCCGACAATTTGCACAGCGAAAGTCTATGACAATGCGTTCCTCATCATTGAGTAGAATGTCGGAGTTGGGCTTGTCGTAGATGCATTTGTCGGTCACCCATTACACTTTCCCCAGTAAATACAAGAAGAACACTTCGCCAAAAGTTACACAGTTAGCAGAATGTCACTACACTGTACATTCATTTTTGCGTTGACTAGGAGAAGAGTGATATGCGAAGGGATAGGATATCAGCAAAAGCACTCGGCACCTGGCATTCGAAGAGTTAGGCTGACGGAATGAGGACATCAAATTTGATGGGAAAATGTTGAACAATTGCTGAATTGTTAATGGCATTGTGCTGGTTTCACTTGCTTGCAGTCAGATAAGGACAGATCTCATTCGGGAAAGTAGCAAAATTGGATTAAAGATCAACATCGCCAAAACGAAGATCATGCAATTAACGCACTACTCACAAAGGTTACCAAAAAAAAGTCACCGAGTTTACACACCTTGGCCAGCTCATAACCTTGAGAAGGTAAGAGGAAACCGAAATAAGAAACGGAATAAAAGTCAGATAAAAATCGTTCTATAAATATAAAGAATTTTTCACTGAAGAGGGTTGAAATGGCATTGAAACGATGTTTGCGTGATGAGTGTTGCTTACGGTGGTGTTACACGAGTTGTAAATATGGATACTGACAGAGAAATTGGAGATTATGATGGGGTTGCACAAAGGCTGGAGAGGACGATGTTAGGGGTAGGAAATCAAAAAGGGAAACCACAGAAAGGGACATTGTAATCAAATCAATGGCCAAATAGTAAAAGAAATCAAACAAATGGTCAGGGGAGGGGGTAAGAAAGGTTTAGGACTTCGTAAATTATACGAGGAGAAGGAAGATTAAATGGGCAAGAAAAGTATCGTTAATGGACAATAACAGTTAGGTGAAGAAATGTGCAGAAGAGCAGCCTATAATTGGGAAGAGGTCGGGGCCACCTATTAAAGTGGTAAGATCACATAGGTAAAATGGCGGGTGGAACATGGATGAAAAGAGCATTCAACTGCGATAATAATGAAATTGGAGTGATCTTGAAGAGTATTGATGTCATTGATAGGCTAAGAACATGCATAAATAAATGAATCAAATTTCAAATATTTATTCGGAATTAAGAACGGATGATTTATAAATGGGAATGCAAAATGATTTCAATTTATCGCATTTGTCTAACTCTCAGGAGGAGTGCGAATAGACCAATAAAGCGAAACACCACGAACATGATCACTAGGATGATTATATCAAACAATATCATGGATTTGGATGTTCCCATTCCACGTCGAACCAATAAGCCAACTCCATCCCGCGCTGGACAATAACCGTCAACTGAGCTCTCCATCGTTCCGTTTTCACATCCTCAAAGCCAGTAGATTGGAGCTGAATGATGAATCGATTATTTTGCACTGAATGAGCCAGATGCAAAACACGAAATTTGCTCGAGTTGAATATGCACCACATTAGAACTCAACGTTCATTTCACCGTTTCAACTAAACTTATCATGTCCGATGACAAGAAGCGCTTCTCAGTTCGCTGAGCCAGTAGTATGTTTTTGATTGAAAGCGGTAGGCGTGAGAGATAGATGGTCGTTCGAGATGACCTACCTGGGATTATCGAAATACTCCGCCACTGATTGATCTGAAGTGCTTCGAAGCCGTAACGAAACCACGATAAGAGTGAAAACCAACTGAAGTAGAATGGAATCGAATGGAAACTGATGTAAAAGCCACCGAAAACGAGCATCGGTAGAATGAAACAAGGCATATAGGTTAATGCTAAACTATCTTCACCGAACACGCAAGCACCAGCGTACGCTTCAAATGACACTTCATTAGTAATCACTTTCAAAATGTTTTCAAGTAGGCAACAAAACGGATCTGTGTGAATACTGAGAAGCAGTTGGAATAATTTTTAGCAGATTGAATTGAATAATCATTGACTGTTATTTTCCGCTGTTAAATTTTTCGAATGAATACATATAGATGAATATGTAAATATGAAAAGATGAAGTGGGCTTTTGCGTAATGAATAATCCTGAAGAATTGAGGCGTTCGCTTTTAACGCATCGAACGACGATGATGAGAGCATTCTTACCGATAGAGATGGCAACGTATGTCAACAAAATTGTGAGTAAAGTATAGGTGATGAAGGATAAAATATTTGCATTCAATCCTGAAATTACAAGATCAATTCTGCCCATCTTGTCTCGTATTTCTGGAAGCAGATCTTTGAAGTGTTTGAAAATGTTCGATGGATACGGCAATCTTTGCTATAGTATACAGGTAGAGGCACAATCTTTCACAACAATTATGGGTCTGACGTGCTCTGTATGGAATAATTCATGAACATTTCAATTTAAAACATACCACTCATCCAATATACTATTATCGAGTATACAATCGGCAAAATAGTGTATTGTGGCACCTGAAATAGTTTGCTGTTCATTCGTCGTTGAAATGATTCACACATTGAAGTTTTATTTCATTCTTAAACAGTCATAACGAGCGTTCAATTTACTGATTTGAGAACGAATCAATCGATCACAAAACATGAGATAATCGTTCACTTCGACAGCACATTCTAAGTGTACTCAGTGATCATAAATAAGGTCAATTAAGAAGCGAATGAATGTATTAAAGTGAATGAGTACTTCGATCACCTCAGCAAATGATTTCGCAATGAAGTACGTTTCAGCTCGATACACACCAGAGCGATGTTCTCGAAGAAAAATGGGCAATTCCGAAGTCATTGTCTGCAACGAATCTAGCTGATGATGAGTCAGATGATAATGAAGTCAGAAGAGCGCTAATACAATAACTAACGTTGATTGACGGGAATAAGAACATGAAGTTCATATCTCGAACGGTATTATAGAGAACACCCTCAATATTCATTACTGTTGGTCCGCTGAGTTTTGTGCGCAAGTTCACGATTCCAATAACAAGAGAGGTAGCCTTTAAAATTAAATATATCTTATCAGGAATGTCTACGAAACAAAATGATTACTTATGTGTGCATCCGGCAATAATCAAAAATTATATTTTCAGGTTTAATGAAGAGAGATATCAGATAGATATAAGATGAGTATTTTTGAAAGAGAAAGCATCGAATTCGAATGTTCTATGAGAATGTTCTTCTAGAGTTGATAGCATACGAAAGAATCACTTACAATAACTTGAATGAATTTTACTTTTAACAAAAGTGGATCGCGCAATGTGGTCAGAAATGAACGTCGAAATAACGCTGCAGTTTGTTTGCAGAAGCCTACCGGATATCTGAATTATAATTGTTGAGTATTGTCATTTATGGCAACAACTCATCAATCACTTTTTTATTCGGCACTGATATAGTATTTATATCAACTTCATTGTCAGTAACTTGAACATTTCTTAAACGTATCAACTGTCCTTATTTCCACCTACTTCTTCACTCCTCTTAAATCTGCATTTCCAATTAAGTGCTTCGATCCCTTTCCATGTGTTTTTCTATACACTTTCATTCCATACTCTGATTCCTCATACTTCGTTCGTATCATCTGTAAACAACCTTTTTGGTTGCATCAGTAGCACACATCTATTTGATCGCCAAAGAAGAGGATTGCAGAATTTTCAAACCATTTGGTAGTCTGGTTTTTCAACATAATTAGATAACATTCAAGCTCACAATCAGTTCACAAAATTATCGATGTCATCTTAAGCGAATCGATGATAAGCTCAAGCAAACGAATCAAATTTGCGTTTGACAGCATGGCAGGTTATTGGAACACGAAAGTGCCACTTACTGATCGTTACTTTATTGCTATATAACAGCCTTAATTATTCACTGCAGAAGGATGAACATACACGTATTCGATCAGTAGACGTCACTTGGTCCGTTTCAGCAACTGACAGTGTTCGTATCACATGATCAGCTGGATTGAACGTTGGTGGACATTCAAGACCGATCCTGCAGTCAAATGGAAGCCTTATAAGACAACTTAGAACGTAGCAAGCACTGAAATAGTCGTATTCGATAACTGATATGAAGAGTGAGTGACGATAGGCTGCAATTGGTGTTAGTTATGACTTGAAATAAATAGAAACGGATGGATCATTAATATCACATCTTTGAGGACAATGCAAAATTTAATTTCGGATCATCTTCAATTCCATCTTTCAAGCACGTTCAGTCTGCAAAGGTGAGATGCGATGCTGGTGTTGAATCAAAAGAACCAACTGACTCATTCCAAAAATCGCACACTCTCGCAACCGGACCAAAATAAGCCACTTGTCCCATCGCCATCAAACAAAGGCTAGAATTAGTATCCAGAAAAATTTCGAGAGCCGAATGTTTTAATATGAGAAGTGAAGGAGCAGTATCTGCTGGAGAGAATTTCTCTGGATTTTGGTATATAAAGCAGTTAGTTTGTGAACATGTTGAACACCAAATTTGATCTGAGGTGGTGATATGAAGAGTGAGTGAAGATTCCGAAGAAACACTGAAGTAAGTTACGGTTATGAGAAGGCTGTTGAATTGGGATGTGTAAAAAGATACTTGTCGAACATATGAAAGACTTGGGTTGACGGTTGATGTATAGTTACGATGATTGTCTTCCTTTGTCTGGCCATATCTTTGAGGCAGCTGACCACTTGTGCAGCCATGAAAGCATCTAGTCCAGACGTTGGCTCATCACAGAACAGAATCGGTGGGTCGGTGAGAATCTGAAATCAGGGATGGTTTACATGGTCGTTGCATCAACAAATGCTTGTTTCAGGAAAAGAAAAATTAACGAATGAAGTTGGCTTGGCACCTCACAAGCGAACGCCAACCGTTTACTTTCACCACATGAAATACCCTTGACTCTGTTCGGAACACCGATAAGTGTGTTCTCACACCTACCCAATCCAAGCTGCAAATTTGTATTAAATATAGGAATCTTAGTCGTATTTGATATTTGTCATGCACCAACTACTCAAGACATTAACAAAGTGACCACTCACATCTTTAATGACTTGTTTAACTCTTTTTTCCCTCAGTTCTTTTGGTATACTTCGATCCATTCGCATTTCTGCCTAAAAAGCACTCAGTGATCAGCGACGATAACTTTTGAAGCGTTCGCCAGGATTTTGAAGCCAAAGTTTGTGCCTGTTTCTTGAGAAATATAGTGAGACTGATAAAGGAACGGTGCGTGGAGATAAAAATCGGTAGTGGTGGCAAATTCATTAGGAGTAGAAATCGGCGAATGAGGTTGCACACTCTGAATGTAATGTACCGAGAACTGCAGTTGCTCTCTGACTGTCAAAGTACCGATGAACAAATCGCCTTGTTGCACATAAGCCGAAACACGTCTCATATCGGTCGACTGCAATTCCTCACCGTTCACAGTGACCACTCCTGAAATGAATTGAAACAGGATGCAGACGACTCACAACTCACTGATAGCTGCTGTATCTGAAACTGTGACTCCGTGAACACTCGAATAGTTTGGAGCAGTCACTCACGGAATGGAAAGTATGTAAAAGTAATAAATAAGATGTTGCTGCTTTTAATGAGAAGTTAAAAGAAGAACTTTAAAGGTGACAAACCGGTCACTTTGACATTCTTCTGTTCGAATCCCGTCAACGTATTCATCAATACAGTCTTACCGGTACCGCTGAAATGCCACGTTTCAAGGCTGAGAAGAGCTAGCATATATTGACTTAATTTGAATATCTTTTCATTTCCCATTTGCATTCCAGTAACGAATTCTGATAAATGGATCATTAAAGTAATGATATAAATATTCTTGCCAGTATTACCTCCCACCCATTATTGCAAGCAGCTCGCCAGGACATGCGTAACCAGACACTGAAAACATCATTCAGCTACTGTAGACACTGTATCACGTGTAATTCATCAAGAACCATCATTCAGGAATCACGAAAAAGGGAATTTCTTTAACGTCATCGAAGGAAATGTTGAAATCATTTACATGATGCATTCAAATTCTATGTAGCCAGGAGGACGTGGAGGATCGGGGATGAGGAGAGACCCCGAAAATGGCTGCCGCTCGAAAATGGTTGGGGGAGGGGATTCGGAGACGGAGATCGTGAATTCGAGGACTCCGTGCACAACATTAATTTAAACACTCAAATACCTTCGTTCAGAACTGTTTTACGTTCATCATCACTCGCTTTATGCCAAAAATGTGAATTTCGATTCGCGTTTAGCGGCACTGTTACTGTTAGATCTGTCCACGTTACTTGCTTACCGTTTCGACTCTCTTCAAATCATTCACCATAACATTTCGAACCATAAATGCAAGCGGTCAATTGTTCATTTGAAATGCGCAGCCCTTGTTTCAAATGCATTGCAGTAATTGACAAATACGATGAGAATTTCAGCAGATCCACATTAATCATATAGATTGCTCAAAGTGATGGCGATCGAATGTCACTGATCGTGAATGATTCGGAAAGTGGCCATTTGTGAGTGGATGAAAAATGTGTAACTTAACGAAACGTGATCGAGATTTCACCGTTGACTTCCAACGATGGAATGTCATCGTCTAATTCGCCGTTCTTACGAAGCATCACACTGAAAGAAGGTACACCTCAAATTCATTATGTCATCCCGTTGGAACTAAACCAAACTAATTTCATCATACTGAAGAGTGATTCAGTCGCACCACCACTGCGAATGCAATTTCATCAGACCATAATGCATTAAGAACGTTACGCAAAGCTTCAGTTCAAATCAAATCCGAGCAATTTTATTAATAGCCACAAACCACCTCACATAAGTAATTCTCATGAACACGAAGTTCTCTACAATTCCGGAAACCAAAACCGTAACACTCATAATATCCAAACAATAAAACCTTCAAAAGGTACGTAAACGACTCTAGCTGAACTGATAACCGTCCAGCAAACAAAAACCTTATGAAATGGCTTCTACCTTAAGCGATATTCGCAAAAGGCGACGTTTGCACGTGGAATGAATATAAGTAAATTCGTGACAAAATAAATGATCAATTGTTTAAAGCGTAATTGAAGCGATTTGATATTCTAGTCAAGTTGACCTCGTAATCCAGTGTTTTCCAAGCCCTTGTATTCGCATTAGTTGTATGGCATTCCTCAGCTCTTCATTCCTCCACTCCACTCCAACAATCCTTTTGATCACAATTTCCCCTTCTTCTGACAATCTATTATTTCTCAGCGACCGACCGGAAGAAACTTTAAGATTTGAACTATTGATCATGAAGACTGTTGTCAGGATTTCGTCGGTATTTTCGGAGGAATCAGTTCCATATAATCAGACAAGCATTTTCAGACTATTATAGGGCAACTACGGAAGAGTTATGGATGAAAATCAGTAAACAACAATTCTTGAACCTCTTCAATTCCGCTCTGGCATCTCTCCCCCTCCCCCTTCCCCCCCCCCTCCAACGGAATCTTCCCAACCACTATCATAATCACATCCGTGTTGACTAGTACCGCTTGAGTTATTATAAGAATACATGACACATGCAGACAGACTAAAGGTTAATTAATAAATGCAAACTGGCATGTAAACAAATTCGAGGGTGAAACAAATTAAGGCGAAGCATTTTCAGTCATTGTTTAATATTAAATGAAATTTGAGCAGTTCGGCTTGTTGACTGCGGATATTTATTTTATTGCGAGTTGAGTTGTACTTGTTGTATGAAATATTACTGTGAATGGCAGTAGTCAACGAACAAAAAGAAAAGGACCGATTACCGCAGATCGATGCTGAATTGAAGTCTGAAACGAAGTCTTATAAACTTATCAAGATTATTGGTGAGGGGGGATATGGCATTGTGTTCGAGAGTGTTTGCGCTGAAAGGTATTTATCACTCAGCTTCTCATTAGTGCGATCACGTCCGCTCTTAGGATACTAGCAAAAGACGAATCTTATAAGCGCTTGTTGATTGCTCATGATTACATCAAAATGAGTCAGTGACAATTCAGAAGAGTTGCTGTGAAGACGGAAAAGTACAGTAAATCGATGCTGCACATTGAAGCAAGGGTAATGCGAGCAGCTGCACGACACCGATGTGAACATATCTGCGAATTACTCGATTACGTAACGTTTATTTTCATTTAGAAAGAATCATTAACTGATGAATTAAGCCAGTCTGTTACACATCATCAACACGGTGTAGTGATGGGCATTGAGATCTGTTTCACGGAGTGCCAATAAGTGATCTTTTGAGTAGAATGTATAATGCGATGAATCACGGAGTGCCAATAAGTGATCTTTTGAGTAGAATGCATAATGCGATGAAGTGTGCACGCCTCAGCAACGGGCATCTACGCGTAGTCAACTTAGGTCCTGAATGAGAATGAGCTCTGTAAAAGAATGCATAATTGTTAGTGGGACTGTGCAAAACGCAAAACACTCACGCAATATACGTGATGTGCCTGTTGCAGGGCTGTGCACAAATGCAAACGATGGATATACCAAAATCGAGTTAATGTGCAGTTCCTGACTTTTTAATACGGTCCTATTGACTACGTGACATTCTGAAATACCCTGAATAGACTTTGCCCGAAAAAGAAGTGACGAACTCATCTAGAATGCACTTTTAACTGAGCAGTGACTTAACTGCATTTCGTTCAGTGATGAGCAATTAATACGATGAATTTGAAGGGAATTTCAAGACCAGATTTTGTATTTATCGTGATAACACTTCTGGGTAAAGATCTTCATAAATTACGAAATGAACAGCTGCAACGCCGATTCTCATTGAGTACGTCGATACGAGTGGGCATTGAAAGTTTCAAGGCTATCGAAGAACTTCATCGGTATTCATTTCCAACTGAGGATTAAAGAAACATAATAACAGTTCTAAGCACATCTTCAAAACCGCGATTGCATATTAATATGCCTGAGTGAAACCAACCAAGCAATCCGCTTACCCAACACAATTATAGATGTGGTTATCTATCGAGAGACATAAAACCAGGTAATTTTGCCGTTGGACTCAAAGAATTTCAACAACACAAAACTATTTTCATAATTGATTTCGGACTCGCCAAAAAATATATAGACAAGGTAAGAAATTTTTCTTCACAATACACTTACTACTGCAATATTCACTGCGACAATATGATACTGGTTTAGAACGGTAATCATATGGCATCGCGTGGTGAGGTGGGTTGGCGCGGTACAACTCGTTACGGTTCATTGAAGGCACACCAGAGACTTGATCTCGGTCGAAGGGATGATCTGGAATCGTGGTTTTATCTTCTGGTTGAAATCACCAGGGGCACACTCCCTTGGCGACACGTCTCTCGTTTGTCATTTGTTTCTATTTGAAGAGTGCATGATTTCGTTAACATTATTAAGAGTTACAGAACGAACCGGTGTACAAGCAGCCAAAGAGATGGCACGGAATGAAGGACGTATGCAACTACTGCATGACTGTCCTCGGCAGTACGACGATATACTCTCGATGATCGATGCGTTGGTGTTTCAGGACGAACCGAATTATGATGAATTTCGCAGATTACTTGACGAGGTTACTGATNGAAAACTTCAAGAGAGATGTAAGATAAAAGAATGCAGTTACATTGAAATGGTGTGATAAAAACAAAAAATTAATACTTAGCAAATTGATGAGTGAACGTTTGATTAATGTGTTGAATGAAAGGTACGGAAAGAACATCGGATCCGCACGCACGCGCATTTCGATTGGGATGAGGATGCAACATCGACGAGATCATCAACAGTGACAACATCAGCAGCGAGTGAAAGCAATGGTAACTTAGCCGTTAAAGAGAATATGACCGCGAGTGACGAAAAATTATCAAATGATCGAAATGAACGTTATTGTGATAATCGAGCAAATGAACAGTGATAAGAGAGCATTTGTTATGTTTGGATACCATTCAACTATGTTTTGATAGTTTGAAGTAAATGCCAAACAATGCAGTAGACCGATTAGATAATATGTTCAGGACGTATAGTTCACATCATGAGAGTTGATCATTCTGTAGCAGTGCACCACTTTTCTGGGAGCACTATGTACTGTACCGCAGTGCACTCGTAGATCACTGGCATGTAGCAAACGAGAATGTGCTCATTTTGGAGTAGTCAGTGACAGATCCTTGTAGAAGAGCACGATTCGATCAGTGCCATCGTCACATTTGAAAATCTGTTGACCATTGGAATCCAAATGATCGGAATGCATGATTTGTTTTACAATTCGATAACCACTGTTAATGAGGAGTGCTTGATTGGCCAATGATGTCGCCTCACTTTTTATGCCTGCATGTGATATGTACTTGATTAGATGAGCCTCATCGAAAAACTATCAAGTCCATAGATGGAGATTAGTATTTATACATGGTTCATATGCAAAGATAACAAACCTTGAACACTGAGTTCTGTGAGACTCTCTTTGTCAAGACCGTGATCCACCAAGAACTTCGCAATCCCTTTACGCATATGTTTTTCTGTCACTGATGTCACCTCTCGCGTAATAACACGATTCACTTTTCCATCCACCTTACTCCAGAATCCACTTTTCGCCTCGTCCAAAAATTCCCAGATCAGTCTGGCTTTTGGTGGTAGCCAGTGAGGAGCTAAACAGAAACAATTTAATAGGCGGTGACCAGAAGCAAAATCATTCGCTGAGAAGCAGAACGTATTGTTGTGGTGAAGTAATGAAAGACTCACGTGATTCAATTGGATCGTTGCGTTGTGCGATTCCAAATAATCGCACTGCCACAAGATGGCCTGTATTCTGCTCGTTCACTCTATAAGATAAGCCAAATGGTATACACCGTCGAGCGGC